AGGAGGGTCTCTTTCTACTGCTCCTAGGGCAAGGTCCTGCCAAGTTTCTCTCTGGCCTATGGCTCTGCCCTTGGGGACATTCAGTCAACATGGTTAACTGTGACTGAGCGTGAATCACCAACCTGGGGAGCACTGTGCTTGGATTTCCCATCCCCTACTGAAGCTCAATACAGCCACAGTCCTCTCCTCTGTGACAGAGGCTCACCCAGGTTGCATTGGGTCTAGGGTAGACAGGATCAGCTCTCCTGAGGGTAAGGGTCCCTTGCATGTTGTCCACAAGACCCTGTCATGAGGGGACCATTGCATACCCACATATGAGTTAGGCAGGTACGACTGAGAAGGGGTGGAGAGAAAGATTGTTAATGAGTTCTGGGTCAAATGAAAAAATTCAGTCAATGAATAGGACAAAGCCTGGACAAAGGTAGAATTCTCCCTCACCATATTCCTGGGGCTTCCACTCCCAAAAGCTCCAGGCTGGATTTAACCGAGCACCATGGATGCCCTGTTCCAGACCTCCTGGTGATGATACCCACATGGCTTCTCTTCTCTGTGGATCAGGTCTTGGGCAGCATGGTCTAGTCCAATTCACAGCTGAAGAGCATTTTACCTGATATGACTCACAGGAGAACTGAATGATCAAGATGTGCTTCTTGATTTAAAAATAGGAAAACCCTCTAGAGCTGGAGTTGATAGAGAAGAGTATTGTCATCTCCATCAAAGCACTTCCTGGAAATCAAAACTGTCCACTTGCCTCAGTTTCATCTGGGATGAACCCATGGGATAAAGGCCTATTTTCAGCTTTGGAATAGAAGGGCTGTGCTTTCCAATGCCTCCAGCTCTCTATTCCCCTCATCCTGGACTTGACTGACCCAGAGGAAAGTATTCAAGTGACTCATGAGTGGGACAAAAGCCTCTATTTTCTCACCAGAATGGGCTGCAGCCTGAAGTAATTCTGCTTCGGTCCTTAGCCTAGGAGAGGAGAGTTTAAAGGAGTCTTGTTTTTTTTATAGGATTGAGTACAGAGATACTCTGACCTAGGGTTGCCAGATTTAGCAAATAAAAATACAGGACATGTAGTTATATTTGAGTTTCAGAAAAACAACAAATAATTTTTAAGTATAAGTATGTCCCAAATATTATATTTTGTTGTATTTTATCTGGTAGCCCTCCCCTGACCTCCATTAATGCTGAGTGAACCCAGCTTGACTCTAGGAAGGAAAAAACATGACCATTCTCCTGCTGTGTTTGAGCTAGGCTGACTCTCCAAAGGAGAGAATAGACCTGGATGGAGGGCAGGGGAAGGCAGGAAGTGAAGGGACTTGATCTCCTGAGCCTCTTCCAAATCCCTATAATGCAGATCCAGTGTAAAAATATTGAGATTGCAGAAACACATAAAATGGCCGTCAAAAAAAGTGCAAATGTTTGGGGCAATGAAAACAAAATTCCACTAGGTTAGGAGTTAGGAGGTTAGGGATCTAGTCTGCTCTACCATTAGCCATTAACCAGCTGTGTGATCTTTGATGAGCAACTTGTCCTCTCCGGGCCTGATTTTCCCCAACTATAGAATGTAAACCCAGATGGGACTCTAGTATTCCATGAGCCTGGTTCTCCATGAGACTGGAACAGCATAGCTGAGTCTGTCCATCTGAGAAATCAGGCAGTGGGGCTAAAAACTGCCCCATCCTCTCCCTGAGGTCTGTGGAACTCTGAGGCTCCAACGCTGTCCTCTAGAACATTCTTATCTCTGAAGGAGAAGCAAGTTGGAGTGGCCAGAAGGGAACAGAAAATTGACTGGGCTAATGACTTTCTTTGGACCATCTTTTCTTCTCCTTAAGCCCCTTGATGCTTTTTGTATGTCAGACTAACTTTGTTTTAAGCTTTATTTTATTACAAGACTCTCTATATTCAATTTTATTAATTTGTGATATGAGTGACCATAGATTTCAAATAATATGATGGTTTTTTAAAATTAGAAGGCTATTGCTGAAATAGAATATAAGGTAAAATTTTAAGGTAATACCACTGCTTTTTAAACATTTTAAAATCTTTTTGGAATTGCCTACAGATCCCTTACATATTTAAATAAAATATATGCTCCAAGATGACAAAGCTTTGTTATTTGAGGATGGTTTGATATTTGATCCTTGAGCCAAATCTCAAGAGTGAGGTGCTCAAAGTGGGTAATATTGTTCCTGGTCAAACACAGGACATGACAATAAAGAAATGAGACCGGTTTTCTTATTGGCTCCTAAAATGACACTAAGAACAGTTTTATTTAAAAATTTTTAGAGCTTCTGGAAGCATTCGGAGCCATGGCAGTATTGGTGTAAGACTCCGGTAGAGGAGCTAATGCTTTCATTCTGTGTCTGTTGACCTCTGTGCTTCTCCCAATTCAACTGCAGGTTCATCAAGGGCAAAGTCAGAGCCTCTTGGACCTGTAGCGTGCCTTGCTCACTGCCACGCCCCAGCAGTTGCTCAAGATAAGTTGGCTGACTGAGTGAATATAAAGTACCTGCGGGAAATGTCCTTCATCAGCTCTCAGAAGCTCTAGAAAACATGCTGACTACGCTCGTGCAGACGAACCACACCCTCCTCCCCACGCTCCCTGCCTTCTGCTGCCATGTTGTTTTCACCAGAGAGAAAAAATCAAATAGTTCTGTTGTACCATCCATGGGAAAATCCCACAGGCACAGGATTATCCCATGCCACAGAACTCTATTTCTTTTTCTCCTGCTCTTCTTCTCCCTCAGTCTGGACCCTGTTTGGTTTTGCCCAGTCCTCGGCTGATTATATGTCTGGCTCCAATATTATTCCTCTTCTTCCCCACTTGGCCCCCTCCCCCTGCCAAATCCTCGTGTGTGCTCAGCTCTTCCCTGTTCCCATAGCCTCTCCTGAACTGAGAGGAGACGGGACATGCCTCAGCAGCTACCCTGACATGAGTCATGTCTGCAGTCCAGCCAACGAAGAAGGATCTAGGAGGGTTGGGCCTTAGGCTGCGGGGAAGGAAAGGGTTTTCACTGCTCGTCAGAAAATGGGCACGGTGGGGGGCAGTTTGGGAGCATTCAAAGCTAGTGAGATTGCTGAGGAGTGAGTTAATTAACCAGAAGCAAAATGCTCAACATGGGCTCTATGAGGATTTTATTCAAAAACACCTCTTGCAAAGAGTTTCTTTACAGCTCTTGCTTACAAATTTCCACGGTTACGCTGACCATTAGATAACACTTCACAATTAATGTAACATGATACCAACCTGTGAGTGAAGTACACGCACGGGTATCATCATTCTCATTCTACAGATGAGAAAACTGATGCCCAGAGAGGTTAAAAGGTTTATCTAACACCACAGAGACAGAGAGCGGCAGGACCAGGACTAGACTCTAAGCCTTCTAAGCTCTGATCTGGTAGCATCATCTATGTAAGACGTGGGACATCTATGCTGCCAGCATGATTACTCATTCTGACTTCTGGTCCCGTGACCTGCCTTCCTTAGGTTTCAACTAGTTCCTTACACTGCATTACAAAGCCATTTTCTCAGAGTCTGTCTGGTCATCACCTTTTCTGTCAAAGCCCTTCATTCGCATCTATTCCTGATCTGCCAGCTTATTGGACTCAACAATATTCACACTGCACTGAGGGTGTCAGATGACATCAAGAATCAGGAAAAAAGACAATGAGAGAGGTAAATTTGCAGCAAACCTAGTTCATTTTCCCCTTTAGTTTCCAACTCTTAACATGCAAGAAAGAGATAGCCTCCAAATTTGACCCAACAAGAATTTAGGAAGGAAAGAATCATACAAATGACAAATGAACACCCGACTCATAAACCATTCACCCTCTCCCTTGCACAGGACCCAGGACCTTTGACAATCAAGAGCGACATCTGTGAGCAATGTGGCTCAAAGCAGACACTGTTGATCCTGGAGCCCAAAGAAGATGGAGCCCCAGTTACCTGTGGAAAAGCAGCCTTTATCCCCATCTGCACAATGTCTCAAGGGCCTCACAAAAGACTTCCCAAGAACAATGCAGGCTAATGTTGAAATTAGCAAAAATAAACTTGGGGGCTAGGAGAAACCTTGGGTGCCATCTGGTCCAATGCCCCTGATTTTAGAGTAGAAAAAAACTCCTGCTCTGGTTCTCATGCTTGTTCCAGAGCACCTACCATAGCAGGTGGCACAGAGTTAGGGCTCAGTAGATACGTGTTCAGTAACTGGATGGATGGGTGTAGTGGTTTGAGATCACAAAGAAAGACTGAAAACAGATCCAGGATTAAAGAATCTAGAATAATCTCTACCCATGTTAATTAATAAAATAGTCAAGAATTGTAATATTTGCTTTCGTTCGTGCACATTTGTTCATTTAATGCTAATAGTTAACCCCCAAAGTAGACTTTGTTATATTTGCAAACTGAGGCCCAGAGGTTGAAGTATCTTGCCCGAAGTCACATGCTCCATGAATAGCAGAACTAGAATTTGAACCCAGCTTTGTCTGACTTATATACTCCAGCAACACTCCACTCCAGCATGTAGCCTCTTATGCAGGAGTCACTGCAGTGGACATGCTCTCCTGGCCTCGGGGGACCTCTTAGATCCCCCTCCCTGGCCATCAATACATAGTGAAGAGAGAAGCTCTTTCAGGATTTTCCTAGAAACATCTAAACTGGTCCACAAATGGACCTCAAGAATTCAAACTTCTCAAATCCATGCTCAAATCGGACACATTGAAAAGTGGGCTTCTTTTTTAATGCTTTTTAAAATGCTTTTTCTACAATGTTCTCTTTTGAGACATTCAGAAATATCCAATCAGCCCAAACAGGAGGCTGCATAAGAGCCATCTGTGAAACAACGGCCAAACCAACAGACCCACTCAGAGTCGATAAGCCTTGACTCACGGACCAAAGCCTGCATCACTCTTTTTAGGAACCGGTGCAGGTTTTCTCCACCTTAAACGCCAAATCATCCCATAAACATTCCAGGTCTTTTGTAATGGAAGCAGTTCCTTACCGGATATCCCCATGAGCCATTCCCTGCCTGGAACTTGGAGTAGTAGCTGCTCCGGCTGGTGGTCCCATAGTTGTTGTAATTGTCAGCCAAGCCATCATACATGGAACCTGGAGGGCAAAGGAAGGGGGTTAGGACAGGGACAGCTATGATCTTCTTTCACCCCTGTGTCCAGGTCCACCATGCTCATGGGGAAGACCGGGCCTGGGTTCCTGGAGGAGGAGGATGGAGAATAAGTCACCTGCTGGCTCTCTCCACCTATCACCACACCCTCCACAGCCAGGGCCAAGGGCAGAGCCATGACAGATTTCTGCAGGGATAGCTCCAGAAGGCTTGGGCAACCCGTTCTTTGGGGCCTAATGGCTCCCCTGCTGCTTGGGGTAGGTTGTCAGAAGTTGGCTGGGAGGGCCTTGGAGCACCATCGTTCCATCCCAGGGAATCACGACTCCATGTTCCACAATGGTCAGCTTCCCACTTGAGGAAGGCAGGCAGGATCTCGACACTCCAGGTCCAGCAGCCACAGCTGATTAGAGTCTGATTCCAGGCAGGATTCTGGATTCAAACTCCAGCCTGGCCCCCACCAGATGACCAGGTAACCTACCGCCCCTTCATTCATCTCCCACATGCTCCAGCTGGTTAGGGGGAGTGGCAATCAGCCTCAAAGGCCAAGAGAGGATTAATTAATGTTTTTGGAGTTCTTGAAGACCCACAAATGACAGGCTCCGCAGGACGACAGAGTGTCATTAGGGTTATTAGCAGCAAAGTGGCTTTGAATCACAGAAAGCAGAACTGGATTTTGGGCTCATGGTGGGGTCACTACCCTGATCTCCCTTTCACTGGATGGCAGGGGGGCCCTAAGGGACAGCCTCAAGTCCACACAAGCTGGTCTATTCATTTTCTTACTATCCTTGCAGCATGGCCAGCAGTGACACCCTCATGACTGCTCTCATCACTTCCCTTGCTGAATCTCCCTTCCCTCCTTGGCCACACCATCAAATCTCGCCCAGCTTTCAAAGTCAAGCTCAAGACCTCACTCCCTCCAGGAAGCCCTTTCTGATCAGCCCTGCCCAAGGCAGTTTCTCCCACCTCTAAACACATACTGTCCTGCTATCTGCACCCCAAGTCTCATCCTGCCTGGTGTCCTATTCCCTTGTCTACACTGGGAGCTCCACAAGGGACAAGCCATGGCTCTATGGCCTGGACATCCAGAGCAAGCCCTGCCCCATACTCCTATTAAATGTGGCCTCTGGGAAGAAAGGTAAGTAGGATCCAGTGGAATGAGCATTCCTAAGAGGAATGAGCATGCCTTTTCCCTAAAGCGATGGTCAGACTCCCTCATCAGAAACCCTGTCTGGGGAAGAGGGTTGACAATGATCTTACCTGGCTTAATTAGCTAAATCTCACCCGGCTGCCACACCCACCCAGACTCCCAAGCCTTTTCCCGGGGGACTGGAATATCTGAGCTGGGAACAGAGGGCAGCTTTGGAAGAAAGCCGCATCCCTGCCTGGTGCCACCTCCTCTGTCCAGTGCCAGATAAGCACCATAGCCCACAGCAAGTGGCACTGCCACTGATTCCCTGCCTGCCCCCACCCTCCATCATGGAGGAGCAATGGGACACTAGGGCTGTCGGGCTGTGGCAGACGGAGCTTGCCCTGGGAGCCTGGAGGTGTTGAAATTGGTCCTGGCTCTGGCACTGGGGCAAGGCACTTGCTCTCTCTGGGCCTCAGCTTCCTGTTCTGTAAAAAGAGGCAGTTGGCATCAAAAGGCACGTACAGCTCCAGTGTTCTGTGGCTGTGTGATCACAGGACACAAGCCTAATGGCCCTCAGAGGAGCCCAACTTCTCTTCTCTAAAGATGGGGTTCAGCTCATAAAGATCAAGGGCAGCCGTCAAAGGCTACATCACATCTCTTCTGCAGACTGTCTCAGGGTCCTTCCAGAAGCTTCTGCATCCTTGAGAGCCCCAGCATCCCACTCTTGAAGCTGCAGGCCCAGGCCTATCTCCTGGAGGGACTCCCCACTGTGAGCGACCTCCTGGGCCTTTGCCCCGTGGCCCCTGAGCCTCTGACTCGCTTCACGCTCCCTGCCAAGAGCAGATGGCTTGCCCTTGCCCTTATTCCAGTAGCCACTCCTCCAGGAAACACTGCCTGATCAGGAGACTGGAGGCAAGGCTCATGGGCTCGGCTACCCAGAACTAGTGCTCACCAGGGAAGGGGGCTACACCTAGGCTCATGCAGTCAGGACCCTAGGCGGCTGATAGGGTAACACTTCCCCTCCACCCAGCCCACTTCCATCATCCCTTCCAAGTTCTTGGCAAGAAAGAGCTTGCATGGCTCTCGCCTTATGAGCAGTTATTTCCAAAGGGCAGGTGTGGGTCAGCCAGATGCTTCCGGATGGAAAATCTGGAGTGGTGACAGACAAGGAATTCTATGGAACCCCAGGGAGGCCTCCAACCCTGCTGAGAGGGAATCTGCCAGCAGCTACGGTGCTGCCCTCTAGGTCTTCAGATGAAGCATCTGCCTCCTTGCCCTGCACCTGCCACCTCCCTTGCACACACTCTTCTCTTTGCACAGGTGAGGCCTCTGCCATCAAGGCAGGGGTAGACCCAAGGACACATGGAGGCAGGGGGTTGGATGCCTGATAATTTCCAAAGCCAGTCCCCATGTCCTGGCAGTGACTCTAGTGAAGACAGATGTGTGCCATAACTCTCACTTCTGGTTGGGCCAGGGCCTCCAGGCCCTTCTGGGCAGCTCTTGAAGGCATGCCCTAAGATCCTTCTGCAGCTGGGGGTCTGCCTGGTTCCCTGGGAGAGGGAGGCTGCCACCACTCCAGCCAGGACTGCTTCTCTGGCAAAAGGTAGCAACACTTGGGGTGGAGGCAGCGAGGGAGGGGAGGAGTCCAGAGATGTCCACACCTGAAGTCACACCTTGCAGTGTGCCAGATAACCAAGGAGTGCAGGTGGCAGATGAGCTCTGTCTGTAAGAGCACAGCTCCCACAACAGAAGCAGTTTCTTCTCTCCTGGCCTCCAGCGTGTCTCGCTGGTAAGCAACGCCCTTTGAAAGTCAAGTTCAACAGCAAGAACATGGGGCTTCTAATGAGTGTAACAGTGATAACTCTGATAGCTTTACTTCTCCACCTAGGAACTCACTTCTAGGAAGCCTTTCCTGATTAACAACACCTGGTCCCATCACCCCTGGCCAATTGTCCTCTCAGTACAGGAGCATGGTAAGGTGTAGTCAATCTTCCATCTCATGCCTGTACCAGTCTCTACCATAATGTACGTAGGGCACTCCCTGAAGCAGGAATCATGTCTCTTCTTTTCTCAGGATCTTGGGCACAGGGCACTGCTCCGCCAGGGCTGACCTAACCTGCCTGAACTGGCCCTTTTTGTCCACAGCTCTTCTCCCCTGCCCCAACCCTTGTAGTAAAGGTGCTCTGGTGCGTGGTGCCTAGGGGTTCGACATCCCCATTTAATACAGAATGAGCTCAGGATCCTCGAATGCTACTCAGCCAGGCTTTCCTTCCACCCAAAGAGGTCCCTAGTGGTTGGGGTAAACCAGAAAGAGAGAGGGGCTGCACACAGCTCCAGAACAACCAAAGCCACCTACTTGAGGAGGATTCTTGGTTCCAGGTGGTAAGGGGAGGTCACCCTAGCACCCAGCTAATCCCACAGAACCACCCCATCCTCCCAGCCAAGCACCCGCCTTCCCACTGTTCTCTTTAGATGAGTGTACACACCAAGAGCAAAAAGATGGTGGCTTCTCAGCGAAGCTGGCAGCTGGCCCAACCTGTGAGTCATCCTCAGGAGGATCTGCCCACCCACAGAACCCCAAAGTCAAGGAGCAAACATCTCAGAGCATATATGATTTTCACCAGTACACAAGCAATCCGAGCTGCTCTGTCCATAGCTTGTCTCATTCTACATCCGTGTCCCAGGGTGTAAAACCATCTCAGAAGACCCGCCACCTGGATGATCAGCATCTCTGTGTGCTGCTCCTTTCGGTGGATCAGATGGATGACTGGCTGATTCTCTCTTGCATCACAGGGACAGCCCAAGCTTTCCCACCTACAAAGCCTTTGGAAATGGAGGCAGCTCCTATGCATGGATACATGGGATCCTCACCCCGGTGGGCCTGGCAAAGCCGTGTGGGATGACTCAGCCTCTTCCACCTCCCGGCTCTCACACAGGTCACACCCACCGCACCTGAAACATTCTTTCTCTTCTTCTCAGCCAAGCCCTCTCCCTGCATTCAAAACCTTGCACAAAAATCAGCTTCTCCTAAAGATGACCCCACCCAGCTCTGAGCACTCCAGGCCCTCCAGCATAACCGTGTCAGCACTCCGTCCAGCTGCTGTACTTACTCTGTGCTGGCTTGTGAGTTCCTTGGAGTCTGGCTTCTGTACACTGTGTTTGGGGGTGGGGGGTGCACACCTGTGTACCCTTCTCCCAGAAAGCAAGGCCTAAGTCTCCTCCATCATGGGGGCTCCCTGCAGCAAGGGATCTTCACTTTCACTAGATCTCTACCCCACCCCACCCCATCCCTGGGTCGGGTTCTACATAGAGAAGGTTCTTAGGACATTGGCTTGCCTGAGCAACAGGCTGCCCTCAGGAGCAGAGGTCATCTGAAACCCTGCTCCTCTATGCCCCCTTTCCAAATCCCTCTCCCTGGCTGGACTTGTCACAGGGCAAGCTGCTCTGGAGGGTTATCTCTTGCCAAGTCTGTCTCTGATAATGCTGATGTCTCTTCTGGCTTCTTCTATATTTGAATAAAGCCCACCTGTCCCTCAGCATAAAAAGTTCAAGAAAGGAAGCCTTGAAAATGCCTTTACTTTACCCCCTTAAATGTCTTCCACCCATGGTGCGCAGTAAGGCTGGGCCCATAGCAAGAGGAACTTAAATGAGATAACAGGAACTGCCAGGAAGACCTGGCTGAGACAACATCCCTTGCAGGTGTTCAAGAGTGGGCAGGAGTGGGCTGTGTTTACAGGAAGGTTCAGGGGCCTCGAGGGAGGAGAATGGCCAGCTGTCCTCCCATCATCTGTGTCCAGCTGCTGGGAGCACTGGGGACATGCCTCCCCTACTCCAGAGATTCAAGGAGCCCGTGGAGGGCGAGGAGTTCAGCACAGCCTCCCCAAGCACTTTGGTGTGGTTCTTGACCTTTCCCTGGGCATGTGTACAGAACAGAAATGCCAAAACAAACTGGGCTGCTATGGCCTGTGTTCTCTCCTCTCCCTCACCAGCCATATGACTCTCTGGGGCTCTGCTGGGACACGTTCATGCCCAGATCTGCCAAATCCTGCTGCTCTTCCTGATGATCTGTTCATGGCCACCCCTAAACCTGAGGATGGGGCAAAGCATGGGAGCATCCTGTGGGGACAGGACTGGCACAGGGAGCAGAGTGGTGGGTTAGAGCGGGCAAAGGCTGGAAGGGGACTCAGCCACCTGGCTGGGGTCCACAGTAAAAACTGTCACCAGTAACTACTACTTTAGGTGTCCATGCAAGCGTGTGCATGCGTGTGCGTGAGTGAGAGTGAGTGAGAGTGCGTGTGACGGGAGTAGCTCAGTGGTTCTCGAACTTTGCTACATTTCAGAATCAACTGAGAGTTTAAAGTTCTCCTGCCCTCCATACTAAGTCAGAACTGCAATTTTAAAAAGCCCCAAGTGATTCCAATGTGCAGCCAGGTTTGAGAACAGTGGACTAGAAGATTTTTTTTGTATATTAGGATGTTTACAAGAGAGACTCCCTGAGTGCTATGCCTGGAGGGGAGGAGCCTTTTCACAGTTAGAGCTGCAGGCAGTATGGGTGAATGGTTTGCAGAGGTAGGGAGTTATAAAATCTATTTCTAAAGAGCATTGCCATCACAAAGCACTTTAGATAGGATCTAGTCCAGTCTCTGACAGTTGCAGAGACCCATAGAGGAGCAGTGACTTGTCCAAGATCGCACACCAGGCAGCGGTAGATGCCAGGCTGGGCTCCTGCCACGGCACAAGCTGCAAGGTGAAGTGTGTGTGTGTACGTGTGTGTGTGTGTAGGTGGTGTAGGCATGTGCATACATGTGTGTATGTCTGCGCATGTGCATATGTGTATATGCATGAGTGTGCATGCGTGTGGTGCATGCCTACAAAGAACTTCACATGAGGGTATCTAACATTCTTCCATTTGCAATGAGCTCAGCAAAGGAGCAGGATCCAGGCAAACAGGGTTTGCCGTGTAACACCCTGGAATACCCAGCATTTTTGCATGTGTTGTAACAGGCCAGCGGAAATTCTGGCTAAAACTCCAACTTTAAGCCAAGATACATTGTAAAGAAACAAGAATTGGTTCATGTGAAGTTTAATTAGTATGTTTCACTGCTGGAACAAGCTGAAGCACAAGTACCCTTCGCCATCTCCCATCTCAGCTTTGGTCCCAAGAAAACAACCCACAGTGATGTCTGTTCACAGTCTGTGGTCGGGAAAGGGCAACTTTCAAGTGAGTAGAATGCTCAGGCAGAGGTTCATGCTGAGACACAGACAGACACAAATACAAAAAGCCACCAAAGGCAGAGGCTCCCAAGGCTAGCTCCTTCACCATGCCCTCTGTGGAGCTGGCACAAGCCTGCCCCCTAGGAGGACCTGAACACACGCAGGAACCATGGAAGAGGAGCAGGCATCTCCCCTGGCCCAATGTCGCCGCCACCCCCTATCTCCTACCAGAGAGAAATAGAGGTTTGGTAATTTTAGCTGGGAAATGGTACTTTCAGAAGAAGAAAGAACTTCAGGCCCAAGGCTGAAATAAGAACCCACAGACATCTAAGCAGGCAGCGAGACACAAACAGGGCAACGGCACCGGTGTTAGGCTTTCCCTGGAAGGAGAAGTGATAGGAAGCTCCTTTCGTTGAACTCTGCGTGGGATGTGTGTTCAGAGGTGGGGGGTGGGGGGAAGGGCGAGGGGTTGGGATCGGAACAAATAAGATTTGGGTTTAGCTTCAGAAAGAGATTCCAAGTGAAGTTATAAAGACCTGGAAGGTGGAAAAGTGTTGTTGTTTGTTTTTTTCAGGCTGGATAACTACTGTGCCAGACAGTTACCCCCACCCAGGGCAGCTCATCATCAACCCTGGAGGGCCTTACCCCACCTCAGAGAGGTCAAGTCTCCCTAGCTAAGTTCTTTTGCTGAGTGGCCACTTCCCCTCGGTTTCCTGTTGCCCCCCACACAGTCTGGAAAGAAAAGTACCCCAGACACCCTGATGCACACAGGGACACTCTGGAACAGAGGGGAGCAATACTTCGGGGCCAGTTCAAGATGGGTAGGCACATTCAGAGCAACCTCCTGTGCAGAGTCTCCAGGCCACAGAGACCCCTTCCCCCGCCCAGGGACTTCGTGACCAGGGTGAGGTGCCTGTCTGATCTGCCGTGTTTCAGGGAGGGCATGGGTGGAGACGGGCATTTAATGCCAAGCTCCTTCCCTGGAGGTCCTTCTTCGGGCTCTCAGTGGCTCAATTCAGCCTCATGACAAGACAGAAAAGAGCCTAGTGGGGAGGACTCCGAGGAAAAACTGATTCTATCACCAGGACCACAGGTGGCCGACTTGGCTGTCCTTCATGGGGTACAAGGAGCGGTGGCCACTCTGCCAGGCAATCTGTGGAGTGTGGCTGATCTTCTTTAGAGTGGAGTCTCTTAAGTACGTGGGGGTCTGAATGGGATTCAGGGGGCCCAGGAGGATCAAAGACGCTAGAGAAACTCTCTTTTTTCTTGGAGGAAACTAAAGGAGAATTTGAGTCTATCCAGGGGGAAAGGGGAAAGGTCTGGGTCCTTCCGTGTCTGCCAACTCATCCCTACTGGGAACTATAGCAGGCTCACAGCACACAAAAAGAGAAAAACACGGGAAAAGAGGGAGCAGAGTGACTAGAGTTGGCCACAGAGCAAACAGGGAATGCTTGGGCGTTGCCAATGGAGAGGACAGAGAAATTTGATGAACACAAAGCCAGATAAACCAGAAACACCAGCTCCAAGTGACCAAACCGCCTCTTCCAGTGAGGAGGACGCCGCTGGGGAGACTGGCCCCCTTTGGGAGCCTCCCCAGAGGCTGAGGGTGGAGAGGACACGCCCCACAGGATCAGTCCTTGGAGAGGTTCTGGAGACGTATGCATTAGCCATCAGGGTTCACTCACCTGGCGGCTCAAGCCCCGGGGGAAACTTGGGATGGAGAAACAAAGAGGAAATAAATGGGAACCTCATCAGATGGATGTCACTCCCCAAGACCAAGGCCAGAAACAGCACTTCATGACCACAGACACTCAGCCAGTATCCGCATATGTGGGAAGAAGAAAGGGTGTTTGGGGCACCCAGTCTGACATTGTTCTGGAGCTGTGAGCCAGGAGCTCAGGCTGGGATCGGGTGTGAGTGGAGACGAGACAGGCAGGTCTTGTGCAGAGAAGAGAGAAGGGTGGCTTGAGCTGTGCCCTGGGCTGTGGCCAGAAGTGGGGGCACTTTGTTATTCCAAACCTACATCCGAAAGAGGCTAGTAAGCGGCTACCAAGGCACTAAGTAAAAGGGAAGGAGGCAGGTCCTCTGGAGGTTGTATGACCTCAAGTGGAAATCTGGCGGGAGAGGAGCCAGGAGCCGGCACAAGAGCAAAGGGCACAGAGAGCAGCAAAGGCCTTCAGTCTGGGTGCGGGGAGTCCTCTGCCAGCCGTTTTCTCTGCCCCCGCCCCACACAGGGGCCACTCAGGCATGGGGGTGAGGGGACACGACAGAAGCCAGAGGTAGAAAGTGTGAGCTGGGGTTTGGTGGGAGAACGGTGGGGGTCTGTCTCCTTTGTCTCCTTTTTCTCTACTACCCCCTGACCCTCACTCTCTCATAAGGGCCGGACTTAAAAAGTCTTGGTTGGCCTCTACTGGTTTGCAGCGTGCAGAGTCTTTATTCGCATTTCACTAAATTTAGCTAAATGAAAAATAAACAAATCGAAAGTTTCATTTTAATAAAACTTTCTTCCTGGGGACCCTTTGTGTTAAAGCACTTGGTTTAAAACTTGTCCACGAATGCCCCTGTCAGGTCCTGCAACTTCCTCCTTGTTTCAGGGGTCCTACCCCTTTCTTCTGGGGGACCTTGTCATTCACAGAGGCTGGTGGAGGGGGGTAGGGCGTCAGACCCAAACCCGGATTGAAAAAGTAGCAGTGAGGGCTCAACCGAAGTCTTCCTGCATCTAGGGTGTTTCCAACCCTGCCACCCTCATTCCCGACGCTCCCCAGGAGACACTTGTCCCTACTTAAGCTGGGCGGGGTAGGGAGATTCCAGTGGGAAAGGGGGTTCTGCATTAGCTATTAGGGAAAGAGGGCATCCCCACCCCCTTCCCTGTCCTGGGGCGCGCTGGCCTTGTGGGGGGGCCACCTTCGAACCAGACTTGCCTCTTCCTGCTGTGAGGCTCTCGCTAAAGTGCTGCGGAGTTCCAGAAACTTATCCCGCTCCTCATGTCACCTCCCCAATCCGAAGCGTCTCTCCTGAGCCCACACTCCAGTCTCAGTGTTGCCCTCACCCCGTCCACCGCCACACACGGGCCCCACCCAGACTCGGATGTCACTCGGCCTGGGTGAGGGGCGACGGCCGCTGGCTGAAGGCGCAGGGCATCGCGAAGCCCGGGGAGGATGAGGTGTGAGCGCTGGGCCAAGGCCACCAGGACAGCTGGGGCAGGAAAGGATGCGGGGTCGGTCCCCGGGGCAGGATTGGGAACAGAAAGACGTCTAGACCCAGGGATGCGGGCCGGAGAACGGCTCGCGGGTGATCTCAGCCTCCCAGCGCGTCCTTGGAGAGATGCTCCTGGCTGTGTCCCCTCAGTGAGCCACCCACCCTTGCCCACCAGCGCGCCGTCGAGCTCATGGAGTCCGGTGGCAGGCCGTGGCTCCATTCTGTTGGAACCGGCCTGGAGCTCGGCTGCTTGCAGTTGGAGCGGACCCTGCCCGGGGCCCGCAGCCCCTCACCTCCCTGCAGCCCCGGGATGCGCGCGCCCCTCGGTCCCCGCCACCAGGCCGTGGCGCGCCGGGAAGGGGCGCACAGAGCACGCGGGCGCCGGGCCTCTTTACCTCGGTTGGAGTGGCTCAGGGTGGACGACTGGGAAGACTTGGACTTCTGCCGCTTGAAGGTCATCATCACCTGCTCCTGCACGCGCTGCCTGCCCGACGTGCCTGTCTTCATCTTTTGGTCCGACGGCAGGGCCAGCGTGGAGTGGTCCTGGTTCTGGAAGCATTCGTACGCCAGGGCGGTCTTGAGCGGCGAGTGGTTCATGGTGGCTGGGGGCGCGCGCGGGCCGGGGACTGGGGCGGCAGAGAGGCGCTGCGAGGTGCGGTGCAGCGGGCGGGCGGAGCGTGCTTTCCTCGCTCTCAGCGGCTCCCTATGGCCATAGGGTGAGTGGTCCGCGCGAGGGCTTCCGGCAGCTGCTGCTGGCGCCTGCACCTGGCTGGTCCCTCTGCTGGCACTGGCGAGGCCCGCCCTCCGTCAGACAGGATATACCACCTCTGCCCTGCACCACCCACTCCACCGGGCTGCGCGCCGCCGCTCAGACGCGGAGCTGCAGGGCACTGCTGCTGCGGGAGCGAGCGCTCTCGGGGGCAGGGCTGAGTCCCCAGTGTGGGACGCTCTGCACCTTCCTGCTCGCTCTTCCTTTCTCTCCCTTTAACCGTCGCAGGCGTGAGTCCCCAGGGCTACGCCCCTCTCTCCTGTTCCTACTTGCTCGTGGAGAAAGCATGCGCTCAGCTCAGGAACCGAGGGGACCTCTCTCTAGGAAAAAAATGATCCTTTTTTGAACCCCTCCCCCAGGAGACACAGGCGCCCATCTACCTTTGTACTGAGGTCATGGCAGAGACCAGCCCTGTCAGTGGGGGCTGCCAGGCAGATGGTAGAAGCACAGCTCCTACCCAAAGGAAGAGCTCAATCTTGAGGGGACAACCTTGAGTCTGAAGGGAGTGGGGCGGTGGCACGAAGGCCACAGACTTGAGATACAAAGCCACAAAGTGTACACCTGTCGCTCGTGGGTATGCCCTGGTAAAATACCATGCGAACAGTGGATCCTCTCTGGAACTCCATACGCAGCCCCTAAAACAGTGCCTTGCATATGTTAGAAACTCAACAAAAAATATCTTTGAATGGACGAATGAATGAATACACCCTGGTAAAATACCATGCGAACAGTGGATCCTCTCTGGAACTCCATACGCAGCCCCTAAAACAATGCCTTGCATATGTTAGAAACTCAACAAAAAATATCTTTGAATGGACGAATGAATGAATACAGGTTTATTAATTTAATTTAAGGTAAACTAAGTCTAACGTGAATCCTACCCAGATCCTTGCTGAAAAACCGGAAAGCTGCCTCACCCCTAAAACTCCCCCAGAATGGACTTGTTATTCTAGGACTACTGTGTTCATTCTCCTCTAGGCACGCAGACCTCCGGGGACACGTGTGCGGTGATGTTTCATTCACACAGCCTACTCTTCAGGCATGGAGGTAGCTCACAGCAGCGAATTTGGTGTGTAACTGGAGCTGAATTAAAGTACGGTGTTGGAAATCTTTTTAAATAATACCCATTCTGCTCTTCTTTGAGTAAACGACATTGAACATATTGGAGGCAGTGCAGTGACTCGAGTTTCTCATTCGACACATCCATTACTGAACTGTGTAGCAGTGCAGTCCAGTCAGCTTCTAGGTTTCCGGGTGTCCACCAGCTGTGTGATGCTATCACAGCTGTCACTCTTGCTGTTGTTTGTAGTTGCCACTCACAGATCACATGCTTCACTTCTAGTTCACCCCTCTGATCTGCAGAGGTCTGTACAATCAGAAAGCTATGCTTGGTGGGAATTATATGTCAAGGAAGGATCAAGAAGACTGTGACTGTCTCAGAGATCACATGAAGGTCACTCACTTACTTCCAGAGAAATGGGTGTCATATGTTGGGAACCTCAGCTTTTCCCCCAAAGGCATTCCTGTGGCCACATGCAGAGCAGATTATTGTAAAGCAGATCATAGTGTCAAAGAACAACTGTTTTATAATCGAGGATTGTGTTCCTAAGAACTTGCTGCTAAATAAACCAGAGATGTGACCCAAAATATGTCATAGATAGATGCAAAAGTTCAACACCCATAAACTTCCATCATCACTTAATATTGTAAGATTCTGCTTCCAGCCATACACTGCCGGGGATGGAGGCTTGGACACCGTCCAGCCAAGCTCCACATTTCGTTGATGAGGAGAGGAGGTAGCTTGCTCGCGGTGTCTCGGCTAATATGTGGTAAAGCCTCCATTCTAACCAGGCCTGGTGACTCCTGGTCCAGTGCTTGCTCCACCACACCATCCAGCCTCCCTTATAAAAGTCCTATAAAATGGGCATTAAAGTACAGTGCACACCGATTATATACAGGCCCAATGTAGTATAAAGTATACACAACAGCATATAAAAATACATTTCCTTTGTATCACACATTTGGCCTATCTGAAACCTAATAATAAACATTAATTAAGTCTTTAAATAATGATAATTTCGTTACCTTCTACGATATAGAAGGGCCCTGAAGGAGGTGATTGGAGTAGTCCATATTCCTATAAAAGGCAAGGTCATGGGAGATGAAACTGATTATCTTTAAAATTATTTCCAGGTACAAAGTTCAGTTTTTCTAGCTACTTCTCTATTATTTTTGATATTGACATTGTCTTCATGTATTGATAGCAATAGCTGGCATTTACTGTGCTCCTATGAGGACAATGCCTACAAACAAGGCATGGTTCTGAGCCCTTTATATGGGCCATGTTATTTGAATCCTTACAGAAACCCTATGAGGTGGGTACCATCACCATCATCCTTCTTTTTCAGATGAGGAAACTGAGGCTCAGTGAAGTCACCCAGCTGGTGATTGGCAGAGACAAGGCGCAGCACAAGCGACCTGGATCCAGAGCCTGGGCACTCAATGGTGGTGCCAGGCGGCCTCTTTGTGATTTTCCTGTGACCAGTAGTGGGTTCAAAACCCCTGCATGGATCAGTCTTTTAACAGAATCCATCCCATCACATGGCATGGAATTCAGGCCAGCTAGTTCCAGTTCCAGTTGTGTCACTAACTAGCTTCATGATGTTAGACAAGTGTCCCTTCCCTTTTCCTTGCACCAAATCTGTAAAGTGAGGAGGTAGATTTGATGGCTCCTAAAATTCACTCTGTAATTCAAATATCAATTGTGGGCATTTATAGAGCAGGAGAGTCTTGAATCAGATCTTCTGGACAATATGTTTTTTGTCTCTCCTACCCCCAACATCAAAGTGAAGAGGAGTCTGGAAGTGGTCAGAGGGTAACTAACTAATACCTGCCGAGCCATTCATGGAGCTAGCGAGCTATCCCATTGAGACATGAGCCATCCCTGCACACCAACAGCAGGTCTATTTTGAGTATGTTATTTTATCAAATCCTCCCAATAACTCCTCAAGGAGGGAGGAGGTATTATTTTGCAGATAAGGAAATATGCTGAGAAAGGCTAAGTAAGTGAAGCCTAGATTTGAGCCAAGGTCTCACTTCTGACCTAGGGCAGTCAAGTCACTTGTCCTGGGCATGCTGAGAAAGGCTAAGTAAGTGGTAAAGCCTAGATTTGAGCCAAGGTCTCACTTCTGACCTAGGGCAGTCAAGTCACTTGTCCTGGGCCAAGGTGTGGGGGTTACATTTGTGCTGGAAGGATTGGTGTGGGGATAAGTGTATGGTTTTGAGCCAGCAGGCCAAAGCTGTTTCTATCACCTCTCTTCTGCCTGCCTAAACCCCACCCCATATGGGATCCTGTCTCAGAAATCAACTAGAAAATAGAGTGATACTTCTAAAGTGGAGAATAGATGCCTAGGAGGCACTGTCACATGAGGCTGAGCTCTGAAATGGCACACTTTTAGGTGACTGTCAGAACATGTATCTACATGGGGAGAAGAATTCTAATGGGTATGGGTTGAGTTTGGAGGGCTTGGGGGTGGTCTGGGGAAAGCTTCCTGAAGAAGTTAATTTTGACCTCATTCTGAAACAAGACAACTATATCTTCATCCTTGAATGGATGAGTATGAATGGGCTTCTAATTCTCTCTGCTACCTGCCCAACAGCACTAAGTGTGACCCAGATTTCACTCTCAACACTCAACGTTCCCAGTCTTCATGACAGTAAGACAGCCTGGGACCTCAATGTTCACTAAAAAGTGGAATAGGAATTCACTTATTCAGCAGGTATTTACTGAGCATCTACTATGTGACAGACCCTGTCCTAGGCACTGAGGATAGGGCAGTGAAGAAGACAAGTCTTGCCTTTACAGAGCTTACCTCTAGAGATGGAGGAAGGGAAGGCTGGGGCTCCCACTGCTTCTAAGAGTGACTGGGCTAGAGCTTCTCCTTGCTCAGGTCTCCCAGGTGAGGGGACCACCTCCACCTCCACCCCAAACTGATGCAGACACCCCTAGGGAGCTGGAAGAGGTAATCTTCCTCTCTGCAACATTATGCTTCCCCAAATGGCCCCACCTTATTCAGCCCAGTCCCTCTGCAACTGACCTTTGGTCCAGGCACCTTTGAACTTCATGGGCAGTGGCCACAGGCCAGCTGTCAGGGCTTTTCTAGCTGAGTTCCTTTGGTCAGTTAGAAGACTCAATGGCTGCCCAACTCAGGAACCTCAGAACCTTCCCTGATGAACCCACACTGCCCTCCAATCTCTAAATAGCTTCTGTGTTTTCTCCCTTATCATTTCGTTTCCCTACCAGCCCTTGACCGACTCACCCCATGCGATGTCTGCCCCTGTGTCTTTGCACATATGCTATTCCCTCTTCCTAGAGCCCTCGCAGTCGGTCACTTAATATGTATTGAGTGTGTAAATGGGCTGGACGCTGTGTCAGCCCCTGGGGATCCAGCGAGGAAGAGACCAGATCCTGTTTTCATCTGACTTGTGTTCTAAAGGGGTAGACAAAGAGTAAACTTGTATATGAGCTAGCAAAATGATTACAAATTACAGCAAGTGCTGTGAAGGAAATAAACGAGAGGCTGACAGAGAACACAGAGAGGGGCGACTTCAGCTATGGTGGGCAGCGGCAATGGGGCTGAGGCCAGAGCATAAGGGGTCGTGTCCATCTCAGAAGTAAGGAGGGAGCTCCAGGCACAGGGAACGGTGAGGGTAAAAGCCAAGGGCCTGGCAGCGAGAGAGGAGAAGTGGGCACGAGATGGGCAGGCAGGCAGTGCCCCTGTGATGATGGAAGTGTTCTGGGTCTGTGCTGGCTATTTAAATCCATTGAAATTATATGAAATAAAGACATTTAGTTCCTTAAACAAACCAGCCACATTTCAAGTGGTCCATCACCACATGTCACTGGTGGCTACTGTAATGGACAGAGTAGGATCATGCTGGACCTTCTGTATTTCTGGCTGGGGATTGAATTTTATTCTAAGAGCAATGAGAGGCCATTAAAGGCCTTAAACAAGAGGGTGACAAAGCCCTCCTACCTCCTGCCTTCCTAGCTTTGGTCACTCCTATCTGTGCT